GGGTGACAAGAACCCAGAAGCTGGGGCCTAGGAAGAAGCGCAAGAGCTGACCCAGGGCCCATTAGCAGTGACATCACGGCTCTCTTGGAAGCACACAGAGCAGGGCATAAGCCCTGGGCTTTCGGGTGGGCTAAGATGTACATTAGGACTCTTGGAGTTGGGACAAGAAAGCCTGGAGCCCAGGGGAAGGCACTGGCAGAAACCAGTAAGCCAGAGATCTTACTGTGATTCCAAACTAGGGCCAGTAAGTCACGTCAAGAAGCTAAAATAGCTGCTAGGCGCCCACACAGAAAGACATTCAATTTAGCCCTCATGAGCAAGGTCACAGTGCTCACATCAGAGGTGCTTCTGCCTCTCAGAATCACACCTCACTGGCTGAGCTCTAGACCAGTGGTTGGCAAACTCATTAGTCAACAGCCAAATATCAACAGTACAACTATTAAAGGCATGAGTGAGGGGAATGGGGGAGTAATGGGGGAATAAGGACATATATCTAACACCTTAATCAAGAAAGAAATTTTAAAAATAAATTAATTAAAAAACAAACAAAAAACAGTATAACGATTGAAATTTCTTTTGAGAGCCAATTTTTTTAAGCTTAAACTATATAGGTAGGTACATTGTTATTAACTTAATTAGGGTACTCCTAAGCTGGCCTTTGCTAAAAACTCAAGGGGCCAAAGAGCCACATGTGGCTTGCAAGCTACAGTTTGCGGACCACTGCTCTAGATGATTGGCTGCTGGAGTGAGAGATGGGGCATCAGTGTGGGGTGGTGGGCATGGCGGCAGCCAAGGCAGGAAGGGGGAGCCTCATACACACAGGGCTAGGGAGAGGTCCTCACAGGAGAGACATTTAAGGATATCTGCACCCATAATACTGGTATATGTTGAAGCTGAGGAAAGGCCTTGATATTCAGGAGATGAACCATCATTTGGGAGAGAAATTTGATATGGGGAGACCTAAGCCAGCTTGTAATAGGTGAGGTGAGAGGATGACCGTTAGCTGGATGTTAAGAGGCTGTGAGTAGGGAATCAAACTATGACCTCCAGGTTCATAGGTCAATGCTCAACCACTGAGCCATGCCAACTGGGCAGCAACCTGCTTTTTGATTGAAGCAGGCTGATCAAGTCCTGGCTTTTTTTTTTAAATCTTTGCTCACTTGAATATTAAGTCACTCAATCTCCCCAAGGCTCAGTTTTCGCTTAAAGACATTGTGATTAGTGATATGAAATATGTTGTCTTAACACAGTGCCTGAATATAATAAACACATCCCAGGCCACAGAAAGGTATGTGTAGAAGGGTGAAATGATGGAAGGAAGACACAGGAGAGTGGCGGGAGCACCGTAGGGGAGAGTGTGATTAATAGCACAAGTGGTAGCATTTATGATCCTTTTGAAATTTCTGAGCAACAGTGAGATAGAGAATAAAAGCTCAGATCAGGTGGCCCCAAGCTTCTCTGTAAAGTGGTTGGCGATGCAATCAACAAAGGAGGATGTTGAAGACTGATACAAGGTAGAGGTTTGTACTGTTTCCACAGGGGACAAGGGCAGGGATGGGCCCAAAAGGCGGGAGTGTTAGCTTAGGCCCAGGGACAGATGACCAGTCAGCCTTGTTTGGGCCTTACTCTAACAGTGTTGGCAGCCCCGGAGGGCACAAGGAGTCCTGGGAACCACCTGAGCCTGGAGTTGGGCAGCAGAGTGGGCTCCATGCTATCCCGGAAGTGTTCAGGAAGGGATCGGAGGCTTGGGGCACAGAGAAGAGGGAGCAGACACAAGTGACTGCACAGGTCAGGAGAGAAGGCGGTGAAGGATGGGGTGAGAGATCATAGAAGACAAAGTTTAGGATGTTAAAGGTTAAGCTTTTAAAACTGAAAACTTTTAAGCACATAAGGAAGAGAGAAGAGAATAGTAAAGTCTACATACTTGTCCACAGATGGAACAACTCAAGGCTGAGCACAAGTAAGGGATGCGGTGTAAGTGTGAAAGGGTGGGACAGAAGGTGGTTAAGTGCGGGAGCTTGTGAGTTGTTCAGTGAAGACCCTCATCAGTAGCTGGTGATGGGGAGAAGGATGACCATGGTACACAGTTTTCTGACCCTGTCTATCTGGTGAGGAAGAGGGGCAGGATTGGAGTAGGTGACAGGAACAAGGACGGAAAGGGTGACAGAACTGTACACAGGTCTAGTGAACTCTGTAGGAACTGGGTACTGATGACAAGGGAAATGGGGTACTGATGACGAGGGCAATGGGGTGCGGGCGGCCTGCTGAAGAGGGGCGCTGGAGAAAGGACCAAATCCATGTTCTCTCCAGTTCTTGAAGCAGGAAGAGAAAGGATGTGCAGCCTTGGAGAGGACATTGAGTGACTTGGTTTCACACATGCGAAGCCAGTTCTGGGGGAGACAGGTTGTGGTTAATGGAGGGGATTTTGTCTGTAATAGGAGGGACAGGCAGGGGCTAATGGGCCTGTGGGGAGGAATTTGTTGTGGGTGATTATGGAGACTTAGGGGTCAAGAGGATATGTTATTTACTCTGTGTGCGTGCATTGGGCACTTCTGAAGTCCTCCTGGTAAAATGGGAGGAAGAGAGTGGCTCTTCAGATCCTAAAGAGAAAGGTGAAGCAACTGGGCATTTCTTCACACACAACAGATCCTTTGTGTATTAGCTTGTTTGGGATAGACACAACTGGCTCCTTAAAAGAAATGAGAACTGAAACCGTACTCTGCTTAAGCTCTGGATAAATCTTGTTCTCCACACATCTACTTGTGATAATCCTATGTTGGGTGTACTTGACTGTAACTGGGGAACCTAAGAACTAGAGGTTGTTGTGTGTTTTTCCGGATTCATCCCCGAAGTGCTCTTCTCCTGAGGTTTCCAGAATATCTGTTGTTAGTTCCAGTTCTTGTAGCAATGCTTCTGGGCAGTGCAACCTCAGCTAATGTAGAATATGTTTATCACACACTTTTACAGTCTTAGGCTAAATGATGTCTTTAAGTACTTCTTTTACCTTTTAAAAATGTCTCTTTTGTGACACATAAACTGTCTCCACGATTCCTGAAGCCAACCATTAAAATATAAGAATCTTCTTTATAATCTTGATCTTTTTGTAACAGTATAACAGCATCCAGTAAGTCGGTAACACATGCTTCCACATAAAGTTAATTTATGAAAAACACAGTTTTATAGATGCTCTTAGAAGGACATTAAGAGTTGGAGAGGGGATTCATTTTAAATTGGAATACAAACCAGCATTTGGGAACCAACCCAGAGCCAGACATTGTGCTAAGTGCTTCCCATGCATTATCTCATTTCATTCTCACAGTGGTGTCATGGAACCAATAATATAGCCGTTTCCATTTTGTAAATGGGCTTCAGAGATGTTCAGTCACTTTGTAAGGAAGGGTCACACGGTGAGTGGCACAATCAGAATGCAGTCTTGGTCTTGCCCATATGTCACATTGCCAGTCAGCAATACACTGTAAGGTGAGTATGATTACTCACGTTTTTTCATAGATAAGGAAAGTGACAGGCATGTAAGCAAGAACACTAGAAACATAAAAGCAAGCGCTTAGATGTTACAGAATTTCCCTTGACTGCCTAGAGCTCTCTCTCATCACATCACCAACTCTGCATACTATATAATAAAGATGTAATATGCAAATTGACCCCCCACACCCTCACAAGATGGCTGCTTACAACCAGGCCAGCAGGGGGATTAGTGAGGGACAACCAAATGACTGAACAGCAGGCTATGTGGGGTGACCAGGCTGATGGGGGGGGGCATGAGGGGTGACCAGGCCAGCAGGGGGAGCAGTTGGGGGAAACCAGGCTGGCAGCAGGGGACAGTAAGGGGTGACCAGGCCAGCACATAATGGCAGTGAGGGGCGATCAGGCCAGCGGGGATGGAGGGACAGTAAGTGGTGACAAGGCAGGCAAGTGAGTGATTAGGGGCCAGTAATCCAGGATTATGAGAGGGATGTCTGACTGCTGGTTTAAACTGGCAGTCGGACATCCCCAAGGGGTTCCAGATTGGAGAGGGTTCAGACTGGGCAGAAGGGACCCCTCCCACCGTGTACAAATTTCATTCATCGGGCCTCTAGTCTATGGGTAAAAGGCATGTCCAAATGCCATTTAATTTTATACAGCTAAGAATAAAAGCTAAAACAGATTTTTAAATATTTCCAAAATAAATGGAAAATAGATATTTTAATTTTTATATTAAATGTCAAGTTTCTTTTGAGCATTTCTTCCATTTGCTGCTTTAGAAGTCATATACCAATTAAAACCCAAAGTGAACTTTTGAACCCATAGTCACTGCTTTCAAATTGTTGACTGGCACACTTGTGGCCATTGAGGCACTTAGTTTTTTCTAGCTTAAGCCAATGTTAAATACTTATTTTGCTTAGTTTTTAAAGAATTGTCATTAAATGAGAATGAGCTCTAGCTGGTGGTACTAAGTGGTTAGAGCATCGGCCGGTGCACCAGGTCACGGGTTCAATTCACAGTCAAGGACACGTACCTGGGTTGCAGATTTGATCCCTGGCCCCCGTGGAGGCACAAACGGGTGGCAGCCAATCAATATGTCTCTCTCACATCAATGTTTCTCTCTCTGTCTCCCTTCCCCCTCCCTTCTGCTCTTTCTGGAAAGCAATGGGGAAAATATCCTCAGGTGAGGATTAATTTTTTTTTTTTTTTAAAAAGAATGATTGGGGCTACAGTCATTTGTAGATTGACTGGGGAACATCTATGTTTTCACTACAATATGGTCACAACATCATCATTACTCTTCATAACAGAATGTGGAGTCAACCTTGGTTAAATTTTTTTTTGTAAGTGTATGGGCCTGAGTGGCTTCCCGGGAAGTCACTTTCTTAAGTGGATACTAATTCAGGTGCACTTGTCTGTGACTGTATCATGCATTACACTCCTGTCAGCACATGGTTCTTTGACAGTTTGCCTTTGAGCATGTCCCTGTCTTCTAATAACACTTATGTTCCCAAAAGGCTGGAGAGAGAGGAACAGGACAAAAAGGCAGAGGAGGAAAGACTTCGCCTAGAAGAGGAAGCCTGTAAGCAGGAAGAGGAAAAGAAGAAGCAGGAAGAGGAAAAGAAGCAGCAGGAAGAGGAAAAGAAAAGACTGGAGGAAGAGGAGGCCAAGAGAAAGGCCAAAGAGGAGCAGCTGTTGAAAGAAGAACAAGAAAAGGAAAAACAAGAAAAAGAAAAGCAAGAAAAAGCCATGATTATAAAGCAGGTACTTATGAGTCTTCATATAGACTTTGCCTTAAGGGCCTTCGTTAACATTAGGTAAAATTAGTTGAATTTGAATGACTCATAATATTTACTTGAAATACTTTCTTAAACCAACTAGGCTGGTTATGAAATATGAGTTACTTTTCCCTGGCCAGCATGTTCAGTGGTAGGAGCACGGCCTATACATTAGAGGGTTGAAGTATCTCAGATTTGATTACCAATCAGGGGCAGGTCCAATCCCCATCCCCAGTCAAGGTGCGTGTAGGAGGCAACCAATTGATATGTCTGTCACATTGATGTCTCTCTCTCTCTCTCTCTCTCTCTCTCCTTCTTTATCCCTCTCTCTCCCCTCCCCTCCACTCTCTCTAAAATCAATGGAAAACATATCCTTATTCCTTGGGAGAGGATTAAAATATATGTATATATGAGTTAATTTGGATAATAACAGTAAAGTTGGTAATGTTTTTGGTATGTCAGTTTGGGTTTCCTCAAAGACAGACCCTGGATGAGAATATGGGTGCTGGTAGTTGACTCGGGAGAAGATCCCAGGAAGCTGGTACCCGAGGAGAGAGGAAAGCCAATGTAAGCGCATTGATGAGTGAGAGACTGTGGGCAACTGGACCTCACTGCCTTTGGGGGTATCTAAGAAACTGTGGAACATGCCTTAGAATGTCCCTCTGAGAGGTGAGGAAATGGGGTTATCTGCCAACTTCTGCCTATCATGTCTGAAAGTCAATCCTTTGGGAATTAACTTCCCTCACCTCCTGGCCACATATATACTTCATGGCCAGAAGCTACCATCAGACATGAGAAGACCTTGGCTACATATGGGAAGTGTCTGCGCTAGACTTGCATGGTGGACCAAGGATAGATGAGTGAGGGCCAGCCAGTCGGCTGTGTCATAGAGCCGGCTGTGTGAATCCACCTTGAATGTTGGAGCAGCACCACTTTGGGGTAGAGATGAGGCAAGGACCGTATACAAACCCCGGGGAATTACTATAGTGTTTTCTTAACTCAGTAAAGCCTATGCCTTGGTTTACCTGTTCCTATCAGAAGGAAGCAGCAGAAGCAAAAGCCCAGGAGGCAGCTAAGCAGATGCGTCTAGAGAGAGAGCAAATCATGCTGCAGATTGAACAGGAGCGACTGGAGAGGAAGAAGGTAAGAGCTAAGGGATTTGGAGGACTGAGCATGAGGCAGGAACAGGAAGCAAATTCAGTACTCTTGCTGTTGTTGGGTAGAGTGATCTTGGGATTCTCAAATTAAGTCAGGTTCATTGATAGTGTTGTTCAGATCTTCTGTATCTTCGTTAGTTTTCTGTCATCTTGTTCTATCATTTATTGAGAGAAGAGTGTTAAAAGCTCCATTTGTGATTATGGATTTGTCCATTTCTCCTTCCATTTTTATCAACTTACGCTTGTATGTTTTGAAGCTCTGCTGTTAGGTGAATATATATTTTAAATTACTTAAATTTTTCTATTGAGTTGACACCTTTATCATTAGAAAAGTCCTTCTTTATCTCCAGTAATACTTGTCTTAAAATCCATTTCATTAGTCTAATTGTGATTAGTATTTGCATAGTAAATCTTTTCCCGTCCTTTTTCTTTAAACCTATGTATGTCCTTATCATTGTAAACAGGATATAGTTAGGACTTGTTATTTTGATCCAGTTTGACAGTCTTTGCCTTTAAATTTGAGTATTTGGTCTATTTACATTTGATGCATTCACAGAGAACATTGTGTTTAAGGAGGCTGATGATACAGGTCCATTCTCATGGTGTCCTAGTACCAGTCTGGGCTTTGTGTTGCTGTAGGCCTGGGAGCTGGGAGACCAATCTGTGGTCGCCCCTCCCTATTTGCATCTCAGTCTCACTTTTTCTAGGGTGGGCCTCTGGAATGGCAAGTGGTGATTTATTGAATTTTAGGTTACCTAAGGAGAGGAAGGAGAAAGATGGGCTATAAATGAAATCAACATTCTAGATACTTACTAGTTCACTTTCAAACATTTGATCTTGTCAGTAGGGCAAATGTATACATCTTCAAAACCAATGGAAAACCTTTCTCTACTCATTATCCTCTGCTAGCATTTCTCTCTCATGAGTTTTCTGAGAAATGTGAAAATGCATATAGTCCCAGATACTTTTACGTGTTTTGGGTCTTGTATTCCTCTTGTTATGCCCAGATTTCGTGGTCCCCAAAGACCACCAGGGAGCCGAGTCTGATGCAAAAGCAAAAGAGTCTTTTATTCAGGCTAGCCCTAGCTCACCCCCCCCACACACACACACCAATGCAGCGGCAAGGTGGAGAAAGAGAGCAGGTCTCTCTGGAACAAAGGATTTATAGGGGTGGTGAGGTCACTGCTTTGGCTGACCCCGATTAGTTGGGTGAGGGCTAGCGTCCAGTTACATAGTGACATAGTTATATAAAATGGAGGACACAGTACAAATTGGATTCAGACATTAATCCTGTCCTGCCCTCACTCTCACCTGGTTCTTTTTGGTTCCCAGAGAATAGATGAAATCATGAAGAGAACAAGAAAGAGTGACGTGTCTCTGGAAGTGAAGGTAGGCATTCAGAATACCATTGTGATCATCCATGTGCTGAGTGGCAGCATACACTCAGAGGAATCCTGGCTCTTGGAGAGGAACAGCCAGACACAAGGGACCCTTCCTGCCTTGTTCCTGGCTGGATGAAAGAGACTGCAGGCCAAAACCGGTTTGGCTCAGTGGTAGAGCATCGGTCTGCGGACTGAAAGGTCCCAGATTCGATTCCGGTCAAGGGCATGTACCTTGGTTGGGGGGCACATCCCCAGTAGGGGATGTGCAAGAGGCAGCTGATCGATGTTTCTCTCTCATCGATGTTTCTAACGCTCTATTCCTCTCTCTTCTCTGTAAAAAATCAATAAAAAATATTAAAAAGTGAGAGAGAGAAAGAGAGAGGGAGAGAGAGAAAGAGAGAGAGAGAGAGACTGCAGGTGCTGGAAGGAGAAGTCTCAGAGAGGAGTTTCAGGGTGGTAATTAAAAATGTCCTCAGAGAAATGGGGGTGGGGATGCAGGAGAAGACACAGTAGTCAGGAATAAAAGAAAAAGAGAATCGTGGCATATGAGTAAGGGAAACACAGCTGATACGTAATAAGCTCAGAAGATCCAGAGAACAACCATGGCGCAGGCAGATGGCTCAGCGTGGCTCCAATTCCCCTCGGATGCTTTTTAGAGCATTTGTCTTTCTGTGTGAAGTCAGCCTTCTCTCTGTTTTCAGAAAGAAGACCTGAAAATAGAGCTCAAGCCTGCTGTGTGTATGGAAAACAAGCCAGAACCAGTTGTCCCGAACAAAATGGGTGAGTGTGAGGTCTGGTTCTTGGGTTTCTCCTTTCGGCAGGCAAGGGCTTGACGTATTTCCTGCAGGGGACAAATACCCGTGGGTCCTCAGAGCGTGTTTGCTGGATGGGGGCTGTGTACTTGGCCTTCCCGGTGGAGTCTCCATCTCCAGCACAGGTCTGCCAGGTCCATGTGGAAAGCACTCAGTGACTCTAATAATCCTGGAGCAGGAGCCAGCGGTCTGCTGGCCCATACTGCTTTCCAGGACCTTAACTGCCGAGCAGGTTCTACTAAGAACTGACCACTGTTTTATGGTGGTTTCTCCTGCCGTCCACACTTCCGGCTAGTCTAGCTCTTTTTTAGCATGTTAGGTGAATCTATATTTCAAATTACGTAATTTTCCCATTGAGTTGACACCTTTATCATTAGAAATGTCCTTCTTCTTGCCCAGCCAACGTAGCTCAGTGGTTGAGCGTTGACATATGACCGGGTTGTTGGTTCAATCCCAGTAGGGGGCGTGTAGGAGGTAGCCGATCAGTGATTCTCTTTCATCATTGATGTTTCTCTCTCTCTCCCTCTCTCTTTTTTTCTGAAATCAATAAAAACACATTTAAAAAAAGAGAAATGTGCTTTTTTTATCTCTAGTAATACTTAAAGTCTGCTTCATCAGTCTACCTATGATTAGCATTTGCATAGTAAATCTTTTTCTGTCCTTTTACTTCAAACCTATGTGTATCCTTCTAAGTGTAAACAGCATATAGTCAGGACGTGTTATTTTAATCCAGTTTGACAGTTTTTGCCTTTAAATTGAGTGTTTGGTCTATTACATTTAAAGCATTTAGGGAGACACCACACTTAAAACTTCTTCCATTTGAATATTTTATGGCAGCCAAAGTCAGGAAAGGCATTCCCATCTCAGAGAATGTCTGTTCGCATTTCTCCTTTGCCTTTGGCTCAAGAACCTACTCTCAGAGCCTGGGACTTGTGCAGTGCATGGCACCAAGTCTCCTGGCTGGCTCAGGAGCCCTGCTGCACAGACATTGCTAATGCCGCTTGCTTTCTCTTCCACTGTGTGAAAGTGACTACCTGGAATCCCCCCCCCCCCAAAAAAAAATGTTGCATTATTGGCAAAGCAGAGGATTAAATTAATTGCCCCCATATCTATAATAATGAAAGCATAATGTGCTAATTAGACCGAACATCCTTCCAGACCTGGGGCTGAGAGGGCTGAGGTGGCCGGCTGCTGTGGCAGGCTGGGGCAGAGTCAGCCACTGCAGGAGCTGAGCCCCTTGCATGAATTTCACACACATACACACACATGCGCACACACACACACACACACACACACACATTTGTTTCTCCATTGTTTTGGATATTTTATGATTAACAGAACGACTTTGTGTTCTCAATCAGAAATCAATGGATTGAGCACCTGCCAGGAAGTTGGCAGTGTGGAGCGCGCTGCCCCAGCAACTTTCCCCCGAGACAGTGTCTCCGGTGGGCTTAAGCCAGTTGAGGCACTTGTTCATCTGGATGCCCTGGATGGGAAATCAAACAGTCTGGATGACTCAACTGAAGAAGTCCAGTCGATGGATGTGAGGTAAGACGATTTCTGTTGTATTTGAGCCTCATCTCTCCTCCAAACACCTCCCCAGCCTCATAGTTGATTTCTTCATTTTGTACACACCCAGGTCACCGCAGGTAGGTTTGTTTGCCATTCAGGAAAGCTCTCAGTGGTACATTAATGTCTTGGGTCAGACTCCTTAGCAGCAGAGCCTGAGGCAAGGAGGTCTAGGGCCTGGGATTTATCAGAGAGAGTGTCAGGAGAAAGTGGACAGAGCAGGGAACAGGATGGAGCAGGGCAAGTCACTAGGCGTGGGAGCCCTGGAGGATGAATTTCCATCAGAGCATGGTCCGAATGAAATACGGAGCCAGCCTGCATGCCCTCGATCCATCAGTCATTGGCTGTGGGCTACTTGGGGCCCGGGGGACACTGGTACAGTGTCTGTGGACATGATGCTCCCATCAGCTGCAGGCAGTTTTCCTGAAAATGGGTGGCAGCTCTGAATCCTTAGCTGCCAGCTCTCTCTGAAGCTGAGGGATGAGTGCACCTGCAAGTAAAGGGGCACCCACAGGCTCCGCTGTGTCTAGTGATTATTTTTTAAAAATATATTTTATTGGCCGAAACCGGTTTGGCTCAGTGGATAGAATGTCGGTCTGCGGACTGAAAGGTCCCGGGTTCGATTCCGGTCAAGGGGATGTACGTTGGTTGCGGGCACATCCCCGATGGGGGGTATGCAGGAGGCGGCCGGTCGATGTTTCTCTCTCATCGACATTTCTGGCTCTCTATCTCTCTTCCTTCCTCTCTGTAAAAAATCAATAAAATATATTTTAAAAATAAATAAATAAAAAAATAAATATATTGATTTTTTTTTTTTTTACAGAGAGGAGGGGAGAGATATAGAGAGTTAGAAACACTGATGGGAGAGAAACATCAATCATCTGCCTCCTGCATACCCCCTGGGAATATGCCCGCAACGAAGGTACATGCCCCTGACCGGAATCGAACCTGGGAACCTTGAGTCTGCTGGCCAACGCTCTATCCACTGAGCCAAACCTGTTAGGGCTAGTGCCTCATGTTTAAGTGAACCTGTCATTGGAAACTTGATAGTTTGCTTTCAGATTCTAAGAACTTAAGTATGTTTGTGGATGACACAACCTGGCAAATTAACCCCAGCAGAGAAAAGACCTCCGTTTGCATGGGGTTGGGCAGAGGCACGTAGAATGGAGAGCCCAGGCAGTCAGCCTTCCCTCTGCCGGGAGTGCTCAGGATTCTCCGAGTCAGGAGGGACCCACAGTGAAGTGTAAAAGCTCTACTGGAGCTTGCCCTGCCCCTTGGCTGTGAATTCCCTGCTTGGTCTGGGGAAGAGAGGAGGGCATGAGGCTGAGGTGTTTCCCAGGGCACACCACTAGAACTACCCAGCTCGGGCACCCAGGCCTGAGCCAGACATGTGAAAGCCCAGGGTCCGGCAGCCCTGTCACCAGAAGAGCAAGCCCTGTGCAGACTGCTAGCAGGGCCTCCTCAGGTCTTGCCGCCATCTCCCCATCTCCCATCGCCACTGGCCATCAGCAGCCACCGTCTTGGCAGCCTGCCCCTAGGGAGAACAGCTGAGGCATCTTAAAGGTTAACAACATTCTCACTCCACCCAACCCCCCACCCTTCTTAAACAAACAAACAAAAAAACCTCTCCATACCTCACTGGTTTGGCTCAGTGGCTAGAGTGTCTGGGGAATCCCGGGTTCAATTCGGGTCAAGGGCATGTACCCTGGTTCCCTGGTTGCGGGCACATCCCCAGTAGGGGGCGTGCAAGAGGCAGCTGGTCGATATTTCTCTCTCATCGATGTTTCTGACTATCCTTCTCCCTTCCTCTCTGTAAAAAAATCAATAAAATATATTTTTAAAAAATAAAAAAACCTCTCCCGAGGTTATTTTTCCATTGATATTTAGAGAGACTGGAAGAAAGAGGGAAAGACAGAGAGAAATATCAAATATCCATGTGAGAGAAACACATCAATTGGTTGCCTCCCACACGAGCCTGCTCTGACCAGGGTGGAGGAGGAGCCTACAGCTGAGTAAGTGCCTTTGATCAGAATCGAATCCAGGACCCTTCAGACCGCAGGCCAGCACTCTGTCCACTGAGCCAATCCAGCTAGGCCAGCGGTCAGCAAACTCATTAGACAACAGAGCCAATTATCAACAATACAACGATTGACATTATTTTTGAGAGCCAAATTATTTAAACTTAAACTTCTTCTAATGCCAATTCTTTAAAATAGACTCACCCAGGCCGTGGTATTTTGTGGAAGAGCCACACTCAAGGGGCCAAAGAGCCGCATGTGGCTCGCGATCCGCAGTTTGCCTACCACGGGCCTAGCACATGAGCCCCCTTAGTCTTTATGTCACTGGGTGGGGGAAGAGGGCAAGACATGGCACCGGCCAGGGTTCAAGAAACGGCAGGAGCTTTGTGTGTGTGAGTTCTCCTAGTGGCCACCTCTGCTTTTGGAGAGAGAGTTCTGGAGGCTGTGCCCAAGGTTGTGGCATTCTCTGCTCCCTGAGCTCTCACTAGCTGTTAACCCAGGAGGCGGAGCGGGCAGGCATTCTGCTAATGAGGCAGCTGCCCCGGCTCCAGCCTCCAGAAGTGGTGGCAGGTCTGCTGCTGCTCAGCATGAGGGAGACGGGTCTTCTGAGCTTCTACAGTGCGACGGGTTTTCCTAGATTCTTCTCTAAGATATTATGGGGGGGTGGAGGGGAGAACAGACTTACCTGGAGTCTCTCTTATCAGCCTTATTCTGGCTGATAAGAGAGACTCCAGGTGATAGGCCCTCAAACCGCAGCTGCCTTCCATGTCTAGGGACAGAAGGGGAATCCGCCCGCTGGGCAGGAGCTGGGGAAGTCAGGGGGCCAGTGGAAGCCTCACTGTAGAGAAGGAGTGGGGGAGGGAGAGATTAGCTCTGCAGGAGCGGGGTGGGTGGTGGGGTCCTTGTTGAGGTGGCCCTAACCTTCACTGAGCACTCACAGCTGGGGGCTCACAGGACCGCTCCCCTGCAGGGGAGCGTCCTGCTGGCTCTCAGGGGGCCTACAGGGGAGGGAGCTAAGGGGGAACAAGAGCAGTTCGCCCAGGGCTAGAGAGAGGCAGCATCCAGAACCCCGAGGCCCACTAGGACCCTTCCTCAGCTCGCTTTGAACTTCCAGCATTTGTATTCTGTAGGGGTTTCCCATCTCCGAGGCTTGGGAAGCACTTGGCTTCCCTGCAGCAGAGGGCTGGTGCAGGCACTTCCTGTATCCTTCCTTCCTGTACTCAGCGTGAGCTAAACCTTCACAGCCTGCTGGGTCCCCTTCCCTTGTTTTCTCCCGAGGGACCCTGTGTCTGTCAGCGACTCAGATTTGAACTAACATTTTTTTTTTTTTTTACAATGTGTTACATACAAGCTCTGGCTCTAAATCCACCTTCTCTAGAAAAGAAGAGTAGTATAACAAAATATTAGAATTAATAGTTCTGTCTGTCTATCTGTCTGTCTCTCTCCCTCTCCTTCTCCTTCTCTCCTCCTCTCTCTGCCCATCCTCCCCGATCCCTCCGCCCTTAGTCCTGTTTCAAAAGAAGAGCTTATCTCCATCCCAGAATTTTCACCAGTGAGTGAAATGATTCCTGGGATGTCTCTGGACCCAAATGGAACTGGTAATGCCCGAGCTCTTCAAGATCTCTTAGATTTCACCGGCCCCCCCATGTTCCCCAAGAGATCCAGTGAAAATCTCAGCCTGGATGACTGTAACAAAAACCTGATCGAAGGATTTAACAGTCCCAGCCAAGAAAGTACTCTGAACACCTTCTGTTGACAAACACAGCATCTCTTTATTGAAAGGTACAGTCTTTTGATGATAGTCTACATCTGTAACTCTTCAGCTGGGGTTGTGAAGGTAGGCTAAGCAGCGCCCAGCCTCCTGGATGGTCAGCTTTATTTTATTTATTTTTAAATACTTTGATTGGTTTCAGAGATGAAGGGAAAGGGGGAGAGAGAGAAGCATCAGTGACAAGAGAGAATCATTGACCGGCTGCCTCCTGCACGCCTCACACTGGGGATTGAGCCTGAAACGTGGGCATGTGCCTTGACCGGGAATTGAATCGTGGCCTCCTGGTTCATAGGTTGACATTCATCCACTGAGCCATGCTAGCTGTGCTGGGGTGGTTCGTTTTATTAAAAAAAAAAAAAAGCAAACATGAATATGAATATGCGGTATATACTGCAGCACACAAAATAATTGAAGTGGATTTCAAGTAAATCCTTCATATGGGAGCCTTCAGCGCCACACCTGCCATGGCCAGCCCTGCTCTTTGGGGTGTGCAGAGTGTGTGTGTGTACAAGTTTGACCTGACCTCCGTCTCAGATAGGACTTTATTTAGAAGTAAAGAGGGAATGTTCTAATAGTGTGCAAGGTGGTGTTCATAAAGTGAACTGCCCCCCTAGTTTGATTCAGCAACATCTCATGTTCTAGCAGAATCATTCATGTACATTGGTGTTGGGCCAAATGATTGCCTGTTCTGGAGTCTTCCAAAGGAAACATTTGTTCCTGGAGCATACCTGAGGGAGTGTGGGTTGGAGGAGGGGGACTGAAGTTTGTGTCCTGAAGCTTTTGTTCCCCACTTTTGGCCTTTTTTTCTTGCCAAAGTTCTTCTAGAAGCTCTTATTGTTTGAGTAAGTTATATCTATGGGTTGCAAACCCTCTGCATTTGTGTGCATTTAGTTATACGCACCTCACATTGCATTTACTGCAGTTTGAGGCTCATTTGCTGTTCAGTGATGAACACTTATTTATAGATTAATTCTAAGTTTGGAAATTAGAATTTATCATCAGAGTTTTTTGTGTTTGTTTTTTTAAAAAAAAAAATAATAATAATGCCAAATTCCTCCCGCTGTCCACTCCTTCTGGATATTTTTATAGTCTCAGCATTCTCTCGGTCACTTTTTCCCTGCTGCTCCTCTCCTATAACAGAACTTTGGTGCCTGATATGACTTAGTCCAATCTTTCTCTTTCTCCAATGAGGAAACAGGTTGGGGAGGCCACACAGACAAGGTCACGGTGTTTTCTTTTTTAAAAAATATTTCTTGTTGATTTTTTTTACAGAGGAAGGGAGAGGGATAGAGTTAGAGACATCGATGAGAGAGAAAGATTGACCAACTGCCTCCTGCACACCTCCCACTGGGGATGTACCCACAACCAAGGTACATGCCCTTGACCAGAATTGAACCTGCGACCTTTCAGTCTGCAGGCCAATGCTCTATCCACTGAGCCAAACCGGCTAGGACGGCACGATGTTTCTTATAATCCTTTCTGTCTGACCTCAGCTATTGGCTGTACACAGCACATTTTAGAGTTCCCTTCTCTTGGCTCCTGGGAAAGCAGTTGTGGTCCCTTCACACGTGGGAGGGAATGTGTGACAGATACTTTTTAAAATAAAGAATATCCCTGCTTTGGAAGAGCAGCTGTCTTTTTGGACATTTCAAAAACAAAAACCATACCTAAGCATTCTATTTCCCTGACTTATGACTTAATATTTAGTAGAAGTTTCCTTTTGCTGTTAGTATACCTCAGTTCACTGACCTCACTATCCAGTACAGACCAGAAAATCCATAAAACTTAGGCTCCTCCAGTCTGTTTCCTGCATCTCTAAGTAGTCATTTCCTGCATAACTAAGAGAAGTGGATACTCCCTGTCCCCAAAGGAAAAAAATTCCTGGGCTAAATAATTGCACTCCTATTGCTTGTATACATTTTTCACATAATCCAGTTCTCAAGTTCTTTCCAACCAGAGGTGGCACCTGCAGGGTTGGGTTGGATGGGGGTGGGAGGGCATTTGGAAATGTGTTGGGTTTTTTGTTGTCACAATGGCTGGCAGCAGCTCTGGCGTCTGGAAAGCAAAGCTTGGGAATTTAAACATCCTGTAGGTTTTCAGACAATCCACACAAAGAAAGCCCCGCCCGCCTAAAAGAACAGTCCTACACAAAATGCCACAGCATTGCTGCCATGTGAGCCAGGGAGACACTCACAGTGTGGGAACATCTAGGGAGAAGGCAGAGTAACGTGACCAGATGTCCCGCTTTTGGCAGGACAGTCCTGATTTTTAAAAATTTGTCCCGGGGCTGCGGGACGCAGGACAAATGGTTAAAAATCGGGACTGTCCCGCCCAAAGCGGGACGTCTGGTCACCTTAGGGCATAGAAGCTCGCATTCTAAACACTCAGTCTCTTCATCCGTCTCACCGAGATCTGTTTGTGAATTGACACAGGTGGCGTTCAGGGAAGCCGTGAAGCTGCTGGCAGTGGGATCCGCGCTGCCAGGCCCTGGAAGGAGCTTCTGTCGTCCCTGACCGCTGGATTCCAAGTCATTACATCACAATGTAATTGTATTCCTAGTTAGTATACCAAACGCTGGCCACTCTTGGTGGAAACCTTGCGAAGTCAGCCTTGTCAGGCTTTAGCGACATTTCATGTTACGGTTCTATTTATGAGCTTCGGCTGCCAATAAAGCGCTTACTCTACTACTTACTCTAGTATCACACTGATCACCTGAAACCAATGAGTCACTCCAGCTGGGAAGTTCACCCTGTAACCATTCTTATTCCCAAAGTTGGAGCGCATACACATGTAGATGATTCCTGTAAATATTCTAGATATTTACCCAGACTCTACTTACACATATGCCACAAGTGGGCTGCAGAGCTCCCATCTGTGTTTAGAAAAAGAAATTCCAGAGGCTTTCCCCCTCTCTCTGAGGTTTCTGTATTGGGAGTTACTATCAAGAAGCCGTTTTATTATTAAGCTTAGCCACCTGCCAGATGCGCTGCGCCAGATTACTCCTTGAGGAGCTAATGGAATAACTTGTTGAGTCAGGCATCCATGATACAGCGGAATGATTGCTGTTTTCCGATGCATATTCCTATAGACATGAGCAGCTGAATCTAGCAAGGACCTTTTCATATTGCACCTTAAAATCTCCGAGCTGTAGACACTCCAGACCATCAAGTGGCTTTTGAACTGAGTGAATCCTGTGTCTCATGCACTGGGGTTGGTTTTCATGTTGTTGCTATTAAGGCGTTTGTTTCTTTATTTGCTCTTGTGTTTGCTCAACTCTAATAAAACCAGGCACAAGTGAAAACAATAATGCTCCGAAACGAAGGGGCCCCGGATGGGACTCCGTGTGCCACTATAATAGACTTTAACTAACATAGAACATCTGAACGGAGGACAGATGATGCTAGAATGGATACTTCTCGCGTTTTATGCCCTATAATGTGTTTTCTTAATTTCATTTCTTGTAGTGAAATGTAACTTTCAGATTAAAATGACCTTTTCTTTTTGAAACTTTTTTTTTTTTTGACATACAATAAGAGCTTAGAAAGATCCATACTTCTGACTGAGGTTTGCAACCAGAAAATCCAAGGCTGCGTCAATAGTAATCTTGTTTATGCGCTTTCAAAACCAGCTGCAGTTGAAGACTTTATCAGTTATGGAAACTGTGTATGTTTGTGTATGTGTAAAAACTAAAATAAAATATATGCCTCCACTAACACGGTGCCATTGATCTTGATGATTATTGGGGAAAATCCATTTCATGACAAGCACAGAAAATGATAGCATAGTCGGACTTTCAAAAATGCCACGCCCTCTTTCTTACAGCTTTATTTTGCCAAAGGTCTGTTTTGTTGTGATCTGTTGTACCCCACGGTGTCATTGTAACTGTGGTGATGCCTCATTTGCATGATGTGTACGTTATCTTTAATGTGAAATACGTTTTCACTGAAGAGTTTGATAGCATGCTAGTATTTTGTTTATTTCTGTAGGCTCAATGAAGAAATCTGCTGAAAGCAAACCAATTTTTTTAAGTCCATGTGGAAAACACACACAGAAATTTGTGTGGCTGTCCTTCCCCTGTCAAACTCATTAAAATTCCTCTCTTGTCAGTTCCAAGTGAATCCAACTGTGGAAATAAGCTTAAGTGATGAGCTGCCCTAGGACATGATGAACTTCTAAGTACAGTAAAGTTGCTGTTCTTTCAGACCACTGACGGGAGGGATTTCTAGCTAGTCAAGATACAGTTAACCTTAGTGTAACCTCTGAAAATATTTCACATAGCAACCCGGTGTTTAAACACAATTATAACGGAATGGTGAGTGATCCTTATTTTCCAGTAAGCTGAAACCCAGACCAGCTTTTTGCATCTAATTCATGGCTTGCCTACAGCCCGGGAGAGAGTACCAGCCAGGACCGGGAGCCAGGGAGGCAACACAGGAATGGAGATGTTGGAATCCACATGGTGACTTCTGGGCTACAGTCTCCAAAGCTGGGGCTCAGTCAAATGCAGCCTTCCTCGCTCCGCTGACAAAGGCTTTGGCAAGCCACAGGAGTGGACATCCTAACTCTTTCCATATGCTGGCCTTTGACAGTGGTGTTACAAATAGCTTTTGTCGCCCTAACCATTTTGGCTCAGTGAATAGAGCGTCGGCCTGGGCCTGCGGACTCAAGGGTCCCAGGTTCGATTCTGGTCAAGAGCATGTACCTTGGTTGCGGGCACATCCCCAGTAGAGGGTGTACAGGAAGCAGCTGATCAATGATTCTCTCTCATCATTGATGTTTCTAACTCTCTATCCCTCTCCCTTCCTCTCTGTAAAAAATCAATTAAATATATTTAAAAATATATTTTATGTAAAAAGAAAAAAAGAATTAGCTTTAAAAAAAACAAATAGCTTCTGTCATCATGAGCTCTGGCCAGAGAGTACAGTGGAGGCCAGTCACTCCTAAAAGCATATCTTGTGAAGATTCTAAATTTTTTTTCAGTATGT